GACCTTATCAAAGGCCTTGGAAATGTCAAGGGCAACAAGTCTAGATTCTCCACAGGCATTGAGAGCCCTATACACCTTCTCAGAGATGACAGTGAGAAGATCAGCCGTTGACCTACCAGATCGAAAACCGTACTGAGAGTCAGAGAGCAGGCCGGCGGACTCAAGATGCTTCATCAATGCATTGTTGAGCAAAGTTTCGAAAACCTTGCTGATGACTGGTAAAATGCTTATGGGTCTGTAATTACTAGGACTAGATCTTTCACCGGCATTTTTGAACACAGGAATAACTGATGGAAATTTCCAGGTGGAGGGAAAGGAGGATTCTGTCATACATTTCCGATAGAGTTTAGCAAGAACTGGTGATAGTTCAGGTGAACACTTTTGCAGTACAATGACAGGAATGCCATCGGGACCGTGGATTTAGAAGGATCGAGATTAGCGATTATGTGGAGACTTTGGAAGTAGTTATTGAACAGTTCTCTAGACAGCGCTCAGTTCTTGTAAGAATTTCTGGTGGTGTATGACCAGCGTCATCGAGAGTTGAGTTCCTGCTAAGAGCTCAGCAAACAGCTCGGTCTTTATCTTTGGAGGATGTAATAACTTCGGCCCGTTGAAAGGGGAGGTATTGAAGATTTCCCATCACTCCGAATACTATTAATAATGCGCCAAAAGTCTCGAGAGCCAACTTGTTGTGATGCGACGCGTATCTTGCGTTCTTTGTTGGTACTCAGATTTAGCTTTACGAATGACAGATTTACAGTGGTTGCGGGCTTTGGTAAAGAGCAGTTTATTTGCGTTGGATTGATCGCGTTGAAATTGATGGAAGTAATGATTGCGATGTGCAATGGCTGCTGCACAAGCAGGGGAGAACCATGGGGATGAGTGAGGCTTCATCTGATATTTTCTAGATGGCACGAATGCATCAATGCCAGCCTGCAGCCAAGAGGTAACCTCTTCAGCGCAGGCTTCCGCCTCTTTGGAAAATACTTCGGACCAAGGAATGTCTCTAAGTAAGTCACGGAAGCTATCCCAATCAGCGCTGTTGTAACGGTAGCATGTTCTGTGATAGGGTGATTCTCGAGCTTCCTTACAGTTCAAGGAAATCTCAGCAGATATAAGTGCATGATCAGAGTTACCCAGAGGTGAATGTTGACTGATTTTGCAGATGTTCTGGTTTGAGGTCAGAAACAAATCAAGAAGAGACTGCGAAGCTGACTGATCCCTCTGATCGGGGAAGCGAGTTGGGAAATCCACGAGCTGTGTCAGGGAATGTGAGAGAGCAAAATTATAGGTTTCGATACCGGCAGTGTTTGTACCTTTTGAATATGGCAGCCAGTCTTTGTGGTGGACGTTGAAGTCACCAAAGACAAATATGTTCGCAGAATTGTACGACGAAAGTGCCTTATCGATTGAATCAGAGATGGATCGAAGAATTGTGCAATCCTGTGATGATGGCGAGCGATAGAGAAAATATAAGAAGCTGGTGGAGTGTAGGAGCGACAGTCTAAAGCACATGAACGCTGAATGTGGATGTGAATGTGAATGCTTGCTTTGAATGCTGAAATCCAGGCAAACCATGTCCTGCAGCTAATTGTAAAGATGCCTTGCTTTCAATGTGCTAGATGCTGGTGGCTAGAAGGTACATCAGAATCAAGAAATAAAGGTGTTTTGATAAATCACAAGAAAATAAAACTGACCAAGAAGTTCGTAGCGCTGAGCATTAAGTAGTGTACCAAATAAAGATCTACATTTAATTCCCCATCTGCCTTCAGAGGCGCCCTGTGAACCTTCCTGTGAGAATGGAGGCACCTGTAAGGCTGGACAGTGTGTCTGTCCACCAGGCTACCTGGGGTCAAGCTGTGCTATAGGTGTGTGGTTCAGACATGTCACTGATCTATAGATTCTGTGACTAACAGGAATTTTTCAATGATAAGTATGATAGAAGGAGTCAGATGTAATTGGCCTATAACTTATAGAATTGAGTAACTTGCAGCTGAAGAACAATGACATGGGACTTTGTGTTTCCCTATGGCTTGTACACTAACTCCCTATCTGCCTTCAGAGGCGCCCTGTGAGCCTACCTGTGAGAATGGAGGCACCTGTGTGGCTGGTCAGTGCCTGTGTCCACTGGGGTACCTGGGGCCCAGCTGTGCTGTTGGTAGGTCATGTCATGATGTTGTCACAAAATACTTAAGGTAGGCAGCTCCTTGGTCTTGTTGTGAAAGAGGTCTGAATTTTCAATGGACAGCTACACATGTATTTATTATGTGCATCTACAGAGGCACCCTGTGAGCCTTCCTGTGAGAATGGAGGCACCTGTAAGGCTGGACAGTGCGTCTGTCCACCAGGCTACCTGGGGAGTAGTTGTGCCATTGGTGGGCAAAATTCCTTTTCTCCTGTTGCTTCCAGTTTATAATGCTTTCTTGCTTTGAATGCTGAAATCCAGGCATATCGTGTCCTGCAGCTAATTGTAAAGATGCATGCCTTGCTTTCAATGTGCTAGATGCTGTCTGAATGTTTCTGAATCAAGAAAAGGTGTTTTGATATATCAAAAACTGAAAACAAAAACTGACCAAGAAGTTCTTTAATAGTGCTGAGCATTAAGTGG